TTAAAAGGGTAAAAGGGTCTCCACCCAGTTGTTTCTTTTATCAAGAGTGATCCAAGCCACCACATAACGAACCCTCATGTTATATTACATGTTGATTTATTCAGTGTTTTATTTATTTTACAGCAGCAGAACATTAACATTGTGATTCCTGGTTTTATTATCAGTTATTATTCATATACTTGATTGTTTTCTGTTCAATAATTACTTCTAAATAAATCCATGTAGTTTGTTTTTATCTAATCCATAAATTGTTTTCTGAACTTTTTTACCACTCAAAGATTTGCTACTTTGTTTCTTCCCTCCTTGTCTCCTTTTCTTTTTGTTACTTCTTTTGTCATGTTTTTCTATTATTCCTTTCTTCCTTCCGGTCTTCCTTTCTCTCTACTTTACCTTGCTCCATTTCTTTCCTTTTCTTCCTTCCTTACTGCTTATTCAACGCTCCTATATTAACCTACTGATGATGCGTCTGTGTTTTTGTTGTTTTTTAAATTATTCTCAATCAGTACTGCTCAGACTGAAACAACACTGGAGGCCCTGCAGTGCCACTTCACCTGGGATCTGGACCAAAGCAGGTCCAAACTTCTCCGTCTCAGGGACAAGGTGGAGGACATCAGCACAGAAGAGGGAAACAGTTGGCTGGGTCACATGTACAACCTGCGGGGGTTCATCCAGTCCAGGCTGGGGTTCACCGATGATGCCAGGAGTCTCTTCAGCAGGGCTGCAGAGGCCTTCCGCAAGATGAGAAACACCGTCTCAGATGAGGGTCCCTGGTTGGTGGTGAACTATGGGAACCAGGCTTGGCTGCACCACCTCCAGGGAGAACATGCAGAGAGTCAGGCTTACCTCTCAAAGGTCGATGCCCTGATGAAAGAATATCCATCTCCATCGCAGGACGAGCTCCATCCAGAGATCTACGCTGAAAAAGCCTGGACTCTGATGAAGTTTGACCCAGACAAACAGCTGGTGGCTGCAGATTACTTCCAGAGAGCCATCAGGATGCAGCCGGACATGGTGGAGTGGCAGACCAGCCATGTGTTAGGGTTAGTGACTAGTTTCAAGCACAGCAGCACAGTGCTAGACGCTGACATCCTGGATAAAATGAGAAACGCCAAGGAACAGGACCCAGAGAACCTGCACCTCGCTGTTCGCTACCTTGAGCAACTTGCTAAGAAAGGAGATAGAGTCGAAGATGAAGCGCGTGAGCTAGCCAAACAGGTTCTGAGAAATCTTGTCGGCAGTTACAGGGGTATAAAAGCATTACTGAGAATTTACAGAGACTATATCTCTATTGATGAGGCTGTTGATTTGGCAGAGGAGGCTCAGGGAAAACATCCAGACAAACGTTATCTGAAGAGGTGTTTAGCACTCTGCTACAAATGGAAGATCATTTATTTCAGGGAGAGTCGCCCAAAGCAAAGCATGATAGACAGCGCCATCAGGCTCCACGAGGAGGTGATTTCTCTTTACCCCCATTCTTCCTTTATTAAGAGAATAGACCTCGCAAATATTTACGCAAAGTCAAAACGCGGCCTGGCTACAGCTGAGCAGATGTACCAGGAGCTGCTGAAGCGTGATCTGGAACCTGAAGACAAACAGCTGCTTTACAACAACTATGCAAAATTTCTGAACTTTGATCGACAGGAGCGACAAAGGTCAATACATTATCACATGAAGGCGGCAGCGATACCGCAAGAGTCGTTCTTTCGGGAGAACAGCATCCAAGTTCTGCAGAAGATTAAAGACAGGGGCAGGGACCGAATGTGTATTAACATAGAGAAGTTTCTGGCCAACCTGCAAGAGCCGTAGCGTTTTTAACAAAACATACACTCCCCTCCAGGCGGCACGGTGGTGCAGTGGTTAGCGCTGTCGCCTCACAGCAAGAAGGTTCCGTGTTCGAGTCCTGGCTCGGACGCGGGGTCTTTCTGTGTGGAGTTTGCATGTTCTCCCCGTGCTTGTGTGGGTTCTCTCCGGTTACTCCGGCTTCCTCCAGCAGTCCAAAGACATGCAAATGGGGACTAGGCTAATTGGTTACTCCAAATTGACCATAGGTGTGGCTGTGAGTGTCAATGGTTGTCTGTCTCTGTGTGTTTGCCCTGCGATGGACTGGCGACCTGTCCAGGGTGTACCCCGCCTCTCGCCCGAAAGGATGCTGGGATAGGCTCCAGCCCCCCCGCGACCCTACTAGAGGATAAGCGGTAGAAAATGAATGAACACTCCCCTCCAAAAGCATTGGAACAGTGAGGCCAATTCCTTTATTTTTGCTGTTGACTGAAAACATTTGGGTTTGACATCAAAAGATGAATATGAGACAAGAGGTCAACATTTCAGCTTTTATTTCCAGGTATTTGCATCTGGATCGGATACACAACTTAGAAGATAGCATTATTTGTAACGGAACACCAAATTTTTAGGTGAGCAAAAGTATTGGAACAGATAGACTTAAATTAGATTAAGTGAATAAGACTTAGTATTTAGTTGCAATTCCTTTGCTTGCAATAACTGCATCAAACCTGTGACCCATTGACATCACCAAACTTTTGCATTCTTCTTTTGTGATGCTTTTCCAGGCTTTCACCGCAGCCTCTTTTAGTTGTTGTTTGTTTTGGGGGGTTACTCCCTTCAGTCTCTTCTTTAGCAGGTAAAATGCTCTATAGGGTTTAAGTCTGGAGATTGACTTGGCCAGTCTAAAACCTTCCACTTCTTGCCCCTGATGAACTTCTTTGTTTGTGTGTTTTGGGTCATTATCTTGCTGCATGATGAAGGATCTCCCAATCAGTTTGGTTGCATCTTTCTTTAAATTGGCAGACAAAATATTTCTGTAGACTTCTAAGTTCATTTTGCTGCTGCCATCATGTGTTACATCATCAATGAAGATTAATTGAGGCCCGTCCCAGAAGAAGCCATGCAAGCCCAAGCAATGACATTACCTCCACTGTGTTTCAAAGATGAGCTTCTATGTTTGGGATCATGAGCAGATCCTTTCTTTCTCCAAACGTTAGCCTTTCCATCACTTTGGTAAAGGTTCATCTTTGTCTCATCAGTCCATAAAACTTTGCCCCAGAATTTTTGAGGCTCGTCTCTGTACTTTTTGGCAAATTCCAGCCTGGCCTTCTTATTCTTGCTAATGAGTGGTTTGCATCTTCTGGCCTAGCCTCTGTTCTTTTGTTCATGAAGTCTTCTGTGAACAGTAGATTCAGATACTTTCCCTCCTGCCCTCTGGAGGTTGTTGCTGATGTCACTAACAGTTGTTTTAGGATCTTTCTTTACAGATCTCACAATGTTTCTGTCATCAACTGCTGCTGTTTTCCTTGGGCTGCCTGTTCGACGTCTGTTACTTAGTACACCAGTGGTTTCTTTCTTCTTCAGGACATTCAAAATGGTTGTACTGGCTATGGCCAATGTTTGTGCAATGGCTATGATTGATTTTCAATCTTCTCTCAGCTTCACAATTGCTTTTTTTCACCCTAGACAGCTCTGTGGTTTTCATGTTGGTTACACCTCTAACTATAAATGCTATATATAAAAACTATAAAACCCAAATCTGAAACTGAGCGTAGACATTCAGCGCTATTTATTGTTTGAATAATCAATGTAATAGGACAGACCTGGGCAACAAAACACACCTGTCAGTCACGTTCCAATACTTTTGCTCACATGAAAAATAGGTGTGTTCAAAATAAAAGGTGTTATCTTCTAAGTTGTGTATCAAATCCAGATGTAAGTACCTGGAAATAAAAGCTGAAATGTTGATCTCTTGTCTCATATTCATCTTTTGGTGTCAAACCCAAATGTTTTCAGTCTACAGCAAAAATAAAGGAATTGGCCTCACTGTTCCAATACTTTTGGAGGGGAGTGTAGGTATTCCACTACCGAACAAATCTGTACATACTCTTTCATTTGATTACATCAACATTAGGTAAACTTGCAGAAATAACTTGTGCAAACTGAGGAAAAGGGGTCCCCTCCTCTGAAGATAGAAAGTGAAGTCTGATTGATTGATGTGATAAATTATCGCAGACTTAAGTCAGTGGCTGATTTACCATGAAATCTCACCATCAGAAACGTTGGTGCGATCAGACCTTAGATTGATCAGAAAGATTCGACTTCCACGCTTTTGAAAAGGTCAAACATCGTTTAAGAAAGATACAATTTTTGAAGGAACACCGTTCAGACATTTGACCAGTGCGCAAACTCAAACCTTTAAGATTGGTCGCACCAACATGTAAAACAGCTAAATCAGTTCATTTAAATTAAATTTACTCGCAGGGTGAAGTCCACGCAAACTTTCCACATCAACTTCATCTGTTGCGAACATTGACACGTAAATCCGTGTCACTTACGCTTCGTGATCCGTCTTGAAAGTGCTGACCTTCGAGGGAAATACAGAGTACAAGGTTTTTCAGAGGTCTGCAAGACAATTATTACATTTTAATTAAATTTTATTAAGAATATATTAAAAATAATCCTCAAAACCACAAACAGCAGCAATAATCTTTATCTGATTTGTGTGAAATAACTTTTCTAACAGTGTGTAGCCATGTTAAACCATCTGTTTTTACTATATCCCTTATGGAGTTTTTTCACTGTATTTGAAGATTATAAAACAACAATACGCTTTGTACTGAAAAATAACAGTTATTGTGAAAGTTTATTTGTTATATAACCTCAATTGTATCACTGGATGCAACTGTTTGCATGAACATAAAGTGGCTATGTTAAGCTGTGTCTAAGTTGTACACTATACTAACAGCCTTTAAAACCCATTTATAGACTTGCTCTTAAGTGATGTTATCTTTTGATTGTCCTTGTTGTTTTGTATTGCTTTGTTTCTACTCTCCTAAAGATACTGAAGTATATTGTACTTGTCCTTTCTCTCTAACTTGTAAAAAAAAAAAATATATGATGTGTTATTTTACCTGATAAAGTTCCTGATGGACAAAATGCCGGGAGCATCACACATGAGTCGATAGCTCTCATTCAAACTAATTAAAACACAGTACTAATGAATCTGGAACTTTATTTCTATGGCAACTGTCAGGGAAGAGTCTGAAAGTCATCTTAATTTACAAGAAACTCATTTTCTAGATTTACATGTGTCCAATAGTTATCAATAACATCATTAACTGAAAAAGGGAAATAATATTAGATTTTTCTAGCAAATTTTCAGTCAGTGATCAGATGGTGAACATACATACAACATACACGCACATGGACACAGCAAATACACCTGAGGGCTGTACCCTCCAGCTGGGTTTACAGTTGCATTTGCAGAAACAATATCTAACACTGAAAATCTTGCCATTTAAAAAAAAAAAAAAAATCAAAACAAGACTCTAGCTCTGACAGGTGAAGATTAAAAAAGACATGAAAGTAAGAGGGCGATCACTCGTTTCCTCTTCGACTCTTCTTGTGACTTTTTTTTGAACTCCTGTGACATGAAAGAAACAAAATGTTGGACGCAAATAATTCAATAAATAATGCACATCTCATTATTAATGATAAATTATGCTGGAGATGTCATTTAATTTCCCATAAACAGAGCTAAGCGTCTCAAACCTAAAACTGTCATGTTCATCTGTTGATGAAGACCATGTGATACGATCAACAGCTCCAGAAAACGACTGTGGTGCCGCTCATCAAAAACCACCAAGTGCTTCAAGTTATCACTGAAGCTCCTCATTTAAATCCTGAATGTTTCAGCTAAAGGCTCAAGTCTTAGGTAAAAGTCGCTGTTCAGCTGCTTGTCTTTAAAAAACAATTCATAGCTTTGTTATCTTCTGTTAAATGAAATAAAGGTTTTGCAGAAGAAAATGTTTATTACACGTTACTGAAAACAAGAAGAGTGTTGGTATAAAAACTCTGGCATTATTATCAGAAACCCTCTGACGATACGAAGCCCCACACATGCAAATAATAAAAAAGCACAATATTTGTGAAGTGGTTCAGATGTAAAATGTGACGACTCACCTCTCTGGAGACTTTGAGTGGCTGCGATGCCTGTGGCTTCTGTGGTGACCTGGTTCACAACAGAGAGGATTTCAGAATAGACAGAACAGTAAAGAGTGTTTCTCTCTTACATAATATTAGAAAATTTAATTTTCTCTGTGTCGAAAAACTTGACAATGAACCACTGTGTAAACTCTGAATTAAAGGAGGAGTCTCATGACAAAATGAAACACAGGAAATTTGTGTCAAAACTGGCAACAATATCCATCCACACCAACCTGTATTGTGCTGCTGTGTATTACATTCTGTTTTTCAAATGATTTGCAGATGTAATTAAATGTAAAACTGCTGCCGTTAAAGATAAATGCTGTTTACTGACGTGTGGAACCATAAACACACTGTATACCCAGTTAAATCACACCACTACCATCATGCCTTGCTCTTTGACTGGACTCCCACTCTCCACACAAGTGCTACCAAACAGCAGCAGCCCACAGGCTCCGCCTTAAAATTTCAGGTGAAAACGTGGAGAGCAAAGGAGCAAAATACTGCAGCTGCTGTTCAAAGTTGAGGATGTAACAAGTAAAAGCAGGAAAGGTGCTTATGCTGCCACCTTCTGGTAGAGCAGTTCTCCACAACTCATTACAAATAAGTATCTGAATTACCCCCTTGTACGTGTTCGGGCCGAGCAAACATCTGTCAGTGGCAGCCTCTGTGGACCGGCAGCAGCACCTACTCACCTACCTATATTTTTCTCTGTTAAGCATCAAACTAGAACCTGTAACTCTTCGTTTACCGGGGGATTTGGAGCGGTGACGTCTGTCTCTGGACCGACTGCGGTGTCTGCGGGGGCTCTTGCTGCGGTGGCGGTCTCTCCGGGGTGAGGGGCTGATGACGCACAACAAAAGACTATCAAAGAGTGCGAGCCACAGATATTTAAAAGGTGATGAAGAATTTCAGCTGCAGTCAAACGTACCTTCGCCTCTTTGGAGATCTGCTCCTCCTGAAACACAAACACACAAAGGATATGATTTAGAGCTGAGTCCATGATGTAAAGTATTTACATTTAGCTGTGAAGACATTTTTATTTTGTTTTCTCTGCACACACTCATCAGAGAAACAAATTCTTAATCCCCCCCAGAAATTGAGGAATAACTAAAAGACAAACCGTCTGGGTGAGCGGCTCCGTCTGTAACGAGGTGACGGAGAGCGACGAGGTCTGTCGTTGTCACGGTAACTGCGTCTGTGGGGTTCAGGGGTCTGCAGTCTCTCTGGCTGCAAGCAGAAAAACACAAGTATTTTAAAACCTCAGCTGCCACAAGACAACACAGTAATGTTAAAAACTTACAAGACAACAGCCTGTGTGACTCAGCTGGCCTCCAGAACACGTGTATATGACCATATCTTCCATTTCTAATGGTTATTATTAAGAGTTTTCACATGGTGTCCCACAGAAGTTCATTAAATGTTTTACCTTCTCCTCTTCCTCATCTTCTTCTTCACTGCTCTCCACTTCATCCAGGTCTTCCTCCAGAGCGCTGATACGTGTGTCCAACATCTCGGCCTCCTCCAGGACTTGTCTCTTCTGTAACAGACACACACATACACACACACACAAACACACACATCAGTGGTGTGGGCATGTGAAACGAGCTGAGTGTATAAACACGATGTGAACGTACCTGAAGCCGGGGCAGAATGATGTCACACATCCTCTCTGCGTGAAGAAGCTCGTCGATGAACTCGTCAACATGCATCAACTCAAACTCTGAAAGAAAAAGGAAAAATAAAAAAACATGAAGAGAAACCGGAACCACTTCATCATACATCCACAACATAATCTTGAGAATCTATTCTGAATCTAGTCTTCAGACAGGCTCTTTACTGCTGCCTGGAATTTAATACTGACCTGGTTTATGAACCAAATTACAGACAACGCTGGAAAAACTCACCTGTTTGTGACTGAACACACATTACTACTTTAATAGATTTTTTTTTTAACTTGTCATGTAAAGCAGTGGTTCTCAAATTGGGGTCCAGGGACCCCAGGGGTCCTTGAGTGGGTTCCTGGGGGTCCCCAATAAAAAGGGAAATAATTTAGTGTCACTACAGTTTCATCCATAAGTAACAGAATGACTGAATGTATGAATATTGCGTCATTAAACTCTTTCTGTAATGAAACATCAAAAAGCAAAAATCTTCAGATTAGTTGACTTAGATGTAAAAAAACTTTGAGAACCACTGATGCAAAGTATCTGTGAGTATCTATAAATAAAATGTATTATTACATTTATATGATACATAAAGTAGCAACAAGAGAATAATTAATTAAGATTTAGTCAAAACGTTACATGAAAACTCAGTTGTTGGATTTTGTGTTGTGTAACAGAGCTAGCTCTGCTGTTTCCCTCTGCTGACAGGTGATTATTTTATTATCCTACTGATGCAGCGCACAGTGCAGCCTAACGGATATTCTAATGATTGCTCTACTTCAGTTGGTTTGAAAACAGACAAACGAGATTCACAATAAACTATTTAGGTTCCAGCATGAAACTGAAACCAGCTTTGTTGTTGCTTATGTGGCAGGGAGGCGAAGTCAAGACACTGGACATTTAAAACTCACCTCCGTTCCTGTTCTGACTCTTGATCTTTCTGTAGTCGTTGTACAAAGGCTCCAGGTATTTGTAACAATCCACTGCAGTGCCAGTTAATCTCATGTACATGGCTCCAAGTAAACGAACGTATCTGGTGAAAAAGTGAGAGAGCATGATGGGGAAAAAACCCACAATAACGGCTTCACCAACACCAGAATGATGAGTAGGCAGAAATCATTTCAGGTTGCTGTCTTTACTCAGGTCCAGGTCTTAACCTGACAGTACACCAGGGAATATTTTTGTAGCAGAATCTTAAAAGTTAAAAGAGTCTTGGAGGATCATGAACGTGTGGCTGCCTCATAAAATCAATAGAACATCGCTGTTCAGTTTCCTCCAAAAACACATAGGGACTCACTTGAAATCCTCATTCTTTATGAACTCAACAATGATGTCTTTCTCTGGCTGAATCTGCAACATCTTCAGCGTGAGGCAGAGGAAGGGAGTGGGCTTGATGTTCCCGCCATAAACTCCTCCAACAAACTTCAGCTCCATGGCTTTGTCAACAACCAGCTCAGCTGCGGATAACACAACATGTACATGGTTCAGTCGTGTCGTGGTACCACGGGAAAGGCTGTTGTTGACACAAAGTTAGGGGTTCATTATTGTCAACAATATCACTGTTTACTGTAGTATAAAGAAATCCCTTCACGAAAATAGGAAAAAATGAGGTAGAATAAATAAACAAAGCATATGGTCGAAGTATGTCAAGTAACAGTTTTAAGTTTTGTACAGTCTCAAACAAAATTATTAGGACTGAAATGTCAATTTTAATAATTACTTAAGTCTTTTATTGCATAGAAACATCAACAATGTATTGATTTCAGCTTTTAAATATGATGATTTTTTTTGCTTTTATTTGTATCAGAACAGTACAAATTAGTCAACTTATCAATTAGAATTTCCCAGATTTTCTTTTGGGATCAATAAAGTATTTTATCTTACATAAAGTTATTCCTAAAGTTATTTAGATCATTTATAATTAAGTTTATTTAAGCCAATTTTTGAAAATAAAAACATACATTTTTGATGGTTTGTTTCCAGTTTTATTATCATATTCAACTGAATAACTTCGAAATCTGGACTGCCAGTCAGACAAACAAAGTTGATTTAAGACTAACTTTTAAGTTCTGGGAAATTCTAAAGTTATTTTTTTCACATTTCACATCTGATTAACTGACCAAACATTAGTTAATGAAAGCTGTCTTTGAGCTGATTGTAGCTCTCATTTGACTCACACTGACTAACATTGAGCTGCCGTGACCTGAGATTAGTATTTATTTATTTATATATATATATATATATATATATATATGTTTGTTTTAATAGCTCTACAGTTAACAACTTCTGTTAGCTACACTGTTCTAGTTAAACACAGCATGTGTGCACTTTGTTTCTTTACTAAAAGTAACACATATCGTTCCCCTAACGTTAGGGAAAGTTTACTTAATGATTCGAGTTATTCTAAGTAAACAAAAAAGGCGTGGAATCCGCTGGGTTGTCGATTGTTAACTTTAGCCGCCAGATTAGCTCGCTGGCTAACACGCAAACATGCTACTGACCAGTCAGTCCGAAACACTCCTCCTTCCAATATTTAGACTCGTATATTCGGGTCCGGATGATTTTCTCCACCAGATACTGCGGATTGGTCCCGTGTATGCTGTTTGCATCTTTAACGGTTCTGTTTGCCATCGGAAAGAAAAAAGAATTAGCTTTCTAGCATGGACACAACAACCACAGACTGCGATCCTTCGCCGGATACGAAAAAGTACTTCCGGCTCGGAATAAAAGCATCTGCAGCCGTTGCTGTTGGGATTGTGCAGAGAAGCTGTCACTTGTTTGAATTTTGTTTTTTTACACAATTAAACCAATTAAATAAATATAAAAAATAACTTATGTATAAATTTATATATATATATAAATTTATATATTTATATATTTATAAATTTATATATATATATAAACAGCAGTTCAAACTCCGAAGCACATGGTGGCGGTAGTGCGCCTTACATACATCTGTCCTGCGTTAACGGAAATTACGTAATTTTCGCGCGAAATCTTGTCGTGTCTTGAGTGCGTGAGTAAATCTTGTGATTTTCGAGCCTGGCTTTGAATTAACGCAGATAAACAACGCGGATTCTCTCCAGTGTGTTGTTGTTTTCTGTGTTTATCACCGGGAGTCTGAGAAAACAGGAAACAGGATGAACTATTTCACCAGACTCAGAGTTAGGAGAGTTTACAAGTGGCGCGGGGAGCCGCTGCGTTTCAATAGGAAGTTAAAGACCTGCGACTATGGGTGAGAAGTGACTGTTTTTAACACGTTTCATGCTCTTTCTTGTCTTGTCTAAAGATAACATACAGTACACTTCATATAGATGAGACATTATGAGGCATTAGTTTATTTAATCTATAAATCATTGACAGAATATCGATTAGCAACAACTGTGAGAATAGTTTAATCATCTTTAATCATCTTTAATCAAAGATGATTAAACAAAATTCGTTTTCCAGCTTCTCCAATGTGAATATTTGCTGCTTTTCTCTGCTTCAAATCATTGGAATCATGAACATAATCTAAACGTCTTTTGGTTTTGAGTAAAGCCTCGGCCAGAAATTATATATGTGTGTACATCCAGAGGTGGTCAAAATACACAGCTCCTTTTCTTGAGTCGAAGTATCCCCCTAGTCAAATAGTACTCCAATGGAAGTGTCAAATTTGTACTTGAGTGAAAATACTGGAGCAGTAATGATAATACATTTTATGTTATGTTGTTCCACATTTACAGAACCTAGTGACTCTGAAATAACCTACTGACTGACTGTAGAACGTGTGGAACAAAATGACTAGAATAAGATACAAAGACGATAGAAATGACTATAAAAACACAGCTGAATTTAAGTAAGTGATGAGTTACTTCGTCAGACGAGTTATGTCAGCATGGTTCTTCATCTTTTTCTTCTGTCTGTGTCTCAGCTCTTTGGCCATCAGTGTGGAGGGTCTCCCGAGAGTCACCGTGATCAGCGCCGGCCAACACATTCTCATAGAGGGCGAGGACGAAGACAACCCGTACGTGGCCCGAGTCGTCAGGCTGTTCGGAGACGGTGAGTTGTCAGAGGACGGTAAATTGTTGTGATCCTGAAAGGAGGGTTTTCACATAAAGCTTAATGATTAAGTAATTCAGCTTTGCGATGCTGGAAAACCCGAATTAAGCCCATAGTTAGCTGGATAACATAGCATCAGGTATCGTAGCCACCTTGAATATTCAAAGCAGATTTCAGGTAAACACAAAGAAATCTAATCCTGCAAGGTTTTGGATGGTGGGTCCAGGTGGGCGGGGCTTGGGGCGCGGCCGAGAGGGTGATTGCTTTGTTGTGACATCACAAAGTTCCAGAAGTCCTGACGGCAGGTTTTAAGGCTCAGTTTCTGAATACAGGCTGTGTGCACTGGCTGGTTGCAACCCAGACCTGCTTTATAATCAGACAACCCATGGACATCTACCTTTGTACTATATGGACCTTTAATTTATATTGAAATGATAAAAGACATGTTGTTGCTTCTCAGAGAGTGGGAAGCAGAAAAAGGCGATGGTTCAGTGGTTCGTCCGTGTGTCTGAAGTGCCTCCGAGCAAGCTGAAGTTGCTGGGCAGAGAGCCTCACCCGCAGGAGATCTTCTACTATCAGGGTCGCAGCTGTGACGACGAGGTCAATGCCGAGTCCATCCTCAGACCTGTGCAGGTAAAGGATGGATTTTTTAATTTATTTTTTTGTTACTCTGTGTGAATGCAGGCAAAACTACCTATATGAACAGTTGCCACTGTTTGTGATTTAAGTTCCTCCCCTTTCCCTCACAGGTGAAACACCTGGATGGAGCGGCCCCGTTCCCCGACTCTAACGAGAAAGACACTCTGTATGTGAAGCTTTCCTGGGACTCTAAGAGCTTCAGGTCAGTGGACTCTGCTGTGGTGGAGTCGACCTCTGAACCTCCTCCAGCCTCATCTCGTCCACCTCCTCCTTCCCGTCCCAAACTGTCCCTCCCCCCCTCGCCCCCATGCTCCCCGCCTGCAGCAGCTCCGGCGTCTCGAGGCATCTCCCGACGCGCCCTGCCCACGCCGGACCCCGCCATCTTGCGCAGGGCCACTTCAGGGGAAGTGAGGTACTGCAGGGCGACCATGAGTGCCGGTAAAGCCGGCGTTGCCGCGGAGGCCGAGTCCCTGCACTCGGCCACCAAACTGTCGGCCTCCAAATGTCTGAGTGCCAAGAGGAGGAACGCCTCGGCCAGGACGCCCGGCGTCCGCAAGAAACTGGAGCTCAGCAGTGAGTGTTTTAAAAACAAACAGTCAGTGACATCAGAACTTTCTTACTGAATGTATTATTGAGCAATTATAGTAATTACAGATAAATCAGTACTGTCAAGAATTTACAAACCAGAAACGCCCAAATATGGTCTGAAAAGGTTTTTTTGATTCAAGTTTAATCTATTGCCATGAACATAATCTGATATAAACGTATCTGCGCTCGCTGCTGGAAGTTTGCTGTTGAAACATTTGAACTAAAACAACGATGGAGATCAAGCTGCACCCGAACACACAGCAGGAAAAGACTCGTCTTCAAGCACAAAAGTTATCTATTAATAGCACATTTGAATTGATCCAATATGATTGGCTCATAAGGACGTATGTAACTGCCGAAAAACATAATAAATTCAACCAATACCCCAGACAGTTGTATTAAAAAAAAAAACAGAAAAAGGTATTTCATTGTATGCGGAGGCGTAAATGCATACAGGACATTTGGAAAGGAATAATCGACAGGCTTACATACACAATCAAACAAAAAAAAGTCATATTTTTCATAAAATATGGGCTCACTTCTCACATATTTGGGATCAATACCTGAAACCCTAACTTCTTCTAACGCCGGTTCTTGGGTGAGAGGTTCGGAAGGAGCGAGGGAGGTTGTTTCAAAAAAGATGAAACCAAACCCCAAGCAAATCCTGTGAAACAGAAGTTTGACGTTTTCACTTGATAAATGATTGACAACAATTATCAAAATGGTTTTGTTGTTTGTTTTTGTTTGTTTCCTTCGTCAGGTCCAGAGAAGATGACCCCAGAGGACGTCCTGGACCAGCTGCTGGACGAGGAGCTGGAGTCGGAGGTGATGTTGGCGCAAAGGCTGTCGTCCTCTCCTCCTCAAGCCCTGCCCCTCACCCACCGCCTCACCCCCCTCAGGAAGGCCCACAGAGCCCCCGGCCCTCAGCAGGACGCTGCCCGCCTGAAGCCCTCCATCGTCCTGAACAGAGTGTCTCCCCCTGAGATCAGCGGTGCTGCGTCGTCTGTCAGAGACGACTCCACCAGGTCAGAGTCGACTCTCACGCAGTCACAGTGTCCACGTCAGTTTAATGACGACACATCATCTCATTGATTTATTTAAGTGCACCATGTGGACTAAATCCAAGGTCAAGAAGTAACTTAAACCCAGAGAAAAACAGGTTGAAATCGACTTTAAAATGGTGCAAACCAAAGTAACTAACTAGTTTAAACTAAAAGCTTTAAATTGGTTTTAAATGATGTTAACTGGAGAAGAACTGGTTTACATGGGTTTTAAAGTTGTGTTAACCGGAGATACACTGATTAAGACTGGTTTGAAACTGGTTTAAACCAGAGATAAAGAGATTTAAATTGATTTTAAAGTTGTGTTAACCGGAGATACACTGATTAAGACTGGTTTGAAACTGGTTTAAACCAGAGATAAAGAGATTTAAATTGATTTTAAAGTTGTGTTAACCGGAGATACACTGATTAAGACTGGTTTGAAACTGGTTTAAACCAGAGATAAAGAGATTTAAATTGATTTTAAAGTTGTGTAAACCAGAGTTAAACTGGTTTAAAATGGGTTTAAACCAGAGATAAACTGTAATGACTCCAGACACACACCTCTGTCAGTCCTCAGCAGGGTGATGAGATGGAGGCGGAGTTACCAACCGGCTCAGTTAAAACGCCGAGAAGAAGAAACGCCACCCCGAGGAGAAAGCAGTGAGTCAGAGGCTGCGGGTGACGGCTGCTCTGTCAGGCTGAGTTTAACCTGCTGCTGGTTTAAATGACCCACAGGGCTGCTGGGAGTTTGAGTCCTGGAGCACAACAAAGATAAATTCACAGCTGTGTGCTGGGTGTTTTTTGTTCGGGTGTGAGTGTGCACGTCAGGGTGAAGTTCACGTGGCGTCTGTTTCTTTTATGTCTGAATGAAAGTGGTAAAACAGAAACTTTCTGATGATGACGACACTGCGTTCGTCTGACGTCTCACCCCGTCTGTCCTCAGAGCGACGACCCCCTCCAGGAAGAAAGACCTGAAGACCCTGAGGGAACCGGCTCTGGGGGTTCTGTGAGTATCATACGACCAAGCACTGGACACGGAGACAAAGACTTCAGTTACATGTTAACATTATTGATACTTATTTAATACTAAGTATAATAACTATTTGGATTATGAGACAATATTTTTAGGCTCATTTAGAGACAAAGGTGGAATAAACACGGAGATAATTTGGGTTCAGTGATTTATGCTTCCTGCAGTGAGAAATTTATAGCCTGGGTTTTGTCTCTCAGGTTACGTAGACGATCTACACTCTGATTAGTCGGGAGGTTGGCTGCAATCGAAAGTCTTTTTTGCTTAGGAAGGTTCCTGGGTGACTGAAGTGACCCAGAAGTATCTGAGCGGCAGCCACGGTCAGAGCTGGTCCAGTTCTCGAAATGATAAGGAAAGGAGCTTCAATTCTTCCTATCCTATCTCCTTTAGCATAGGAAACATTGGACCACCCTTTACGAAAGGAAAGGAGATAATACCGTCCCACAATTCCTTACCGCAGCAACATTTAAAGCGACGCACCATTGTAGTTCAAACACGGCAGACGCATGTAAATGTAGCAAGAACAGAGCTTTTGTTTTATGTTTGTGACATAATTCAGAACTGAAGGAAATCCTTGTGCGATCGACTGAAGTCCAAAGTCATGAATATAGATTTCTTCTCTTTAAATCCAGTCAGGAGTCGACATGAAGAACAGGCAGATTGAATTTCTAGTTAACAATATCATCATCATAACAAAATGCTTTAGCCTATATATAAATGGCATTTCACTAAATCGCACTACCAAGAATTTTCTCTACTTAACAAGTGTATAACACTGTCAGGAAGCTACATTAATTTATGTCTGAATATAATTTATTCTGATTTCTTGCTCAGTTCCTTATTTTGATTTCATTATTATTTTAATGGATCAACTTTCTCTATTTGTATTTTTCATGTTATCTTATTTCAACATTTTAATCCTGTTTGTTTTGTTTCGGTGGTTAGGAAAGGAAGATTTACCGTCAAAGTATTTTAGAGAAAGTTTATCCAAAATAAAAGAAGTCTAGTGTACATAAGTCTTTATGAACTCTCCTTCACTTGACCTCCATGACATTTTCCATAGAGGAGAGGTGGGGAGGAAAGGAGATTACCTCCAGCCTCAGATAAAGACCTGCAGACACAACTCCTGGCTTCTTTTTCCAGCAAAAAAATAATAATTTATGTTACTTATAGTGAGTAATATTCTCAAAACACTGCTGATACTCAGGTGTGTTTATTATCTGCACCTGCACCGTGTTAATGTTTCCGTGCGACAGGGCCGAGGTGGACAATGAAAACTCTCCCATGCTGCCGGGAGCCGCCACACCCAGGAGCTCCAAAAGGAAGTCGGCCCAGCTGGTGTCGTCACGTATCAGGAAGCAGCTGTGAGTGCAAAGCCAGTCACAGTCATGACGACATCTGACCTCCTGGTTGACGTTGACCTGTCGTTTTCCAAAAGCTTAAGTTTTGTCTGCTGTCACTATGATGGGAACGTGTTATAATTATTGATGTTTTATCAGTAGTTTGTTCACTGGATGAGGTTTTTATTCTCTAAAATAAACACTAAAGTAAATTCAGATTTCCCCAACGCTAGTATCAGAAATTGATTTCATAAATGATCAGTTGGATTTGATTGAAGGGCAGAAGCTAATCAAAAACTATTTTGACCATTTAAGTTTTTTCTTTATCAACCAAATATTTGTCAGGATTTTCTGCTTTTCTTCGTTTTATAGGATTGAAAGTTGCATTAATTTAGGTTTTGACTTGTTGGTCGGACAAAACAAGACTCAGACTTAGACTCTGGGAACAAGTGTGGTATTTTTTTTGCTCTTTTGTGACCTATAACAGATGATATGATTTACCCATACACTGTAATAATAATCATCTTATTAATCAGTGTTTATAAGATGTTAAATTAAACGTAAACAGTTGCAACCCTACAGAAGTTCTTTCAAACTGAAATAAGGTCAATCAATGATGTTTAATTTTCTTTCTCATTAGCATGAAGGCTAACATAATGGGGAGGCTCAGAGCCTCCTCTCTTCTGATTGGCTCACTGACCTGTTGTTACTAGAGCTCCAGAGAGAAGCCTGAGAGAGGAGATGTAAAACTACATTGAGATGGTTTTTGGTTCTTAAAACCACAAATATATCTTCTTATGGATCAACACTTCAAATAAAACACAGGAGAAGATGTATAATCATTTAACATGAGACATGGTAATTATATAAATTGTTGCTAATTCAAGAGTTGTCTAACTTCAGAATTTGTCTGTTTGTCCAGGAATCTTCTGGACAACCAGCAGGACCTGAACTCAGACGGAGACGACGGAGACGAGTTTGTTCCATCGAAGAAGGAGCTGCAGAGCAGCAGCGAGGAGGAGGGAGATGGCTGTGAAGAGGAGGCAGGGCTGGACAGTGACGAGGAAGTGGTAGCAAAGAGGATCCGACATGCTGCAGCAGGATCTCGCACTCCTCGCTCGAAGCAGAGAACTCGCTCTTCCACCAGGACGCCGCAGAAAACTCCCAGCAGGAAGGTAAAAGTCCAGACTGACAGATCATCATGAAACACTGATTTGGTGTCTGTTAGCTGAGTCACATCAACCAATCAAGTCAAATTTTTTTGCCTTCTGACAATTTTTTTTTTCCTCCTTTCTTTCCAGAAAAAAAATAATTTGCCTTGATGATAATTAGTTGATTAAAACTGTGTGAGAACAAGACAACAAACTGCCTGTTTGCATTTCCTGTCTGTTTCAACAGAGCGCACCCGGCACGCCGCGGACTCCCCGGCACGCAACTCCCAGCATTCCCAGCAGGTCACTGCCGGCCCGACAGCCCGCTAACGTCCTGGAGGAGGCCAGAGCGAGGTGAGAGGAGAGTCCAGTCCACCTGACCTGTGATTCTGAAATTAGTTATAGAGTGAGCTGCTCCATCGTCGCCATCTTGGCAGTGTCTGACCCCGCCCCTAACTCCCAGCTAATCCAAAAATGGTCAAAGAGATGAGGCTTGTGCGGAGCTGAGACTTCGGTGCACGACGGTTTGTGGCAAGCATACACTTACCCACCTGTCATTCAAAGAAGCCACGCCCTAAATTATAAATAACTTTAGTCCTTAATAAAATGTAAACAGGTGAGTTATATAAACAGGTGTCATGAAGGAGGAAATTAGCTCTAGAGACCAAAACTGTTTTTGTACCAGGCTGTAAACATGTTTATTTCTGCTGTAAAGTTGGACATTTTAACATGGGAGTCTATGGAGACTGACTCACTGTTGGAGCCAGACTCTAGTGGTCATCAGAGGAACTACAGATTTTGGTCTTTCAGTGTTGGCTTCATGTTTCAGCCTCAGAGGTTGATGCTTGGTTGTACACTGAACACTTTGTGCATGTTTGTGTGTGTGTCCCCAGGCTGCACGTGTCCTCGGTGCCAGAGTCCCTCCCCTGCAGGGAGCAGGAGTTTCAGGACATCTACAGCTTTGTGGAGAGCAAGATCATCGATGGCACTGGAGGGTGAGACCAATGTTTAGTTTTCGACTGGTTCCCGACGATCACAGCCAGTCAGTGACTTCTTAGCTCTTCCTGTTGTCGTCACACTCACCTGTTTTGTGTGTCGGTGTCTCTCAGGTGTATGTACATCTCAGGTGTGCCGGGCACAGGGAAGACGGCCACAGTCCACGAGGTGATACGCTGTCTGCAGCACGCGGCCGACGTGGACGAGATCCCTCCTTTCCACTTCATCGAGATCAACGGGATGAAGATGACAGATCCTCATCAGGCCTACATCCAGATCCTGCAGGTGAAATTTATGGACATGTGCTAGTTAAAGTTCCATATTTTCTTCTTCTCCTGTGTTTTATCTGAAGTGTTGATCCATTAGAAGATATATTTGTGGTTTTAAGAACCAAAAACCATCTCAATGTAGTTTTACATCTCCTCTCTCAGGCTTCTCTCTGGAGCTCTAGTAACAACAGGTCAGTGAGCCAATCAGAAGAGAGGAGGCTCTGAGCCTCCCCATTATGTGGGGAGTACTCCGAGCTTGTTACTTGTGTGCGTTGACTGAGCTGTGTGTGTCTCACCTGCAGAAGCTGACGGGTCAGAAGGCCACAGCCGACCACGCGGCAGCTCTGCTGGAGAAGAAGTTTAGCAACCCTGCACCCAGGAAGGAAACCACAGTGCTGCTGGTGGATGAAGTAAGAACTCTTTATTTATTTATTCTTTACTTTATTTTATGGGCATTTTCCAAAAAGACAGTAATATCATCTTTTATAAGAAGAACATTAAAGTTTAAAATAAATCAATCAATCAATCTAAGTTTAAGTCAATTAAATAAAAACCTAATCTTGCAAACTGTTTCCAGAAACTATTAAAACAGATGTGTGAGACGGCGGACTGACTGACTGACTGACTGACTGACCCACCCTCCACTCTGTGTCTGACCCTGTAGCTCGATCTGTTGTGGACGAGGAAGCAGAACGTCATGTACAACCTGTTCGACTGGCCCACGCGGCGCCACGCCCGCCTGGTGGTACTGACCATCGCCAACACCATGGACCTGCCGGAGAGGATCATGATCAACAGGGTGGCCAGCAGACTGGTGAGGGAGGGAGGGAGGGGGGTTGTACATGCCCTCAGCTTCTGTGTCCTCTTGAATGAATTTAAATAAATTGAATTAGAATTAGTCGCCTCAGCAGGTACAGTGGTGTCTGGTGTTCTGCACAAAATCAGTATTGTGTTGTGTTTGTGTCAATGTTTCCAGGGTCTCACCAGGATGTCGTTCCAGCCGTACAGCTTCAAGCAGCTGCAGCAGATCATCACGTCCAGGCTGAACAAGGTGAAGGCCTTCGAGGAGGACGCTCTGCAGCTGGTGTCCAGGAAGGTAGACGACCGGGGCGTCTCTGAACCCCCACCCCCCCACCCCTTCACCTGAGCTCAGCTCATTCGCAGGTCTGTCGGCTCAGTGCAGAGAGATTTCAGTGTTCCTCTCCTCTGGCAGGTGGCCGCTCTGTCAGGCGACGCTCGTCGGTGTTTGGACATCTGTCGCAGGGCAACGGAGATCTGTGAGCACTCTGTCGCCGACCCTTCTGCCACAGGATTGGTGGGAATGAGTCACGTGATGGAGGCGCTGAATGAGATGTTTTCCTCCGCCTATGTCAACGCCATCAAGTAGGATCCTCATGTTGGTCACGTCAGGTGTGGATTAGTAATAATCCATAATGAGATAAAGTGAGGTATGTGTGTTTTCAGGTGTGCGTCGGTGCAGGAGCAGCTCTTCCTTCGGGCGGTCATCGCTGAGTTTCGGCGGCTGGGATTGGAGGAGGCCACCTTCCAACAGGTAAAGCTCCAACAAACTCGTGAAGAAGAGTCAATAATAACTAGAAATGCACGACTACTATAGTCTCTGCTGTTACACACTGACAGCTGTATCTGTGAGGAGGAATTGAAAACAACGAATGAGTGTTCACTGCAAATGCAGAAGTATCAGATCCTATAAACCATGTTTCTTCTGTAAGGAAAATATAAACAGACATTTGCAGTGATGTTGAAATACAGAGAAAAACAGTGTTACATCTTTTGCTTTATTGAAAATGTTGCACTGTAGAAAAAAAACATGAACCAGCTCAGTGGCTTGACTGGAGTTTCATTTTTGTGTGGTAAGGAATATAGTAGCTGTGTGTGTGTGTGTGTGTGTGTGTGTGGTTTTCTGGGACTCAATCCAGCTTCACCACAGATGTATTTTAAAAAAAAAAAAAAAAAAAAAAAAAAAAAAAAGTTATAGTTCACTTGAACCTGGTTGCACATGTGACTGCCAGTCATGACAACAGTATGAATCCAGGTTCAGTAGAAACATGAAGTATGAATGTTTTCCATGTCCTTTATTAGTCTGAAACCACGTGATGCTTTCAAAGGTCAACCTCTTCTTCACCCTAATATGACTCAACTTCTTGGTACATGACTGACATGAGCACATGCAAAACTGGAAATGCATGCACTTGACTTTGTAGCTTGTAGATGATTTTGTGTGTGTTGTCCACATCCTGTGCTCATGTGCATAATGAGCTCTATTATGTGAAACGGTTCAATCACACGAGCAGCAACAGGGTTTCTGCACGTCTTGAAAAGTCTTAAAAACATTCAATCCAGTTTGTTCCAAAATGAAAAAAATATATAGAATAAAATATTAATTCAAATATCATTAATTCAAATATTATTAAGGCTTAATTGTCATAGTTTTCTGTGTTTTTGAGATTGTTTCTTGTTCTTGCGTCTCTCTTGAAAAAGACATCTTAATCTCAATGGGACGGCCTGATTATAATGAAGATTAAATTAAACCAGAATCGCCTCCTTGTGGTTGTCTGCCTCCACCACTCACCCGTCTCAGGTTACATCCCTGTTTATCCAGATTCATAGAATATATTATATTGACCCCCAAAATCTAATCCGTTCATCCTTGAGTCCAAGTGAATGTTTGATCCAAATTTGAAGAAATTCTGTGAAGGTGTTATTGAGATATTTGTGTTGATGAGAATGAGACGACATACAGACAATCTGAAAACACCATCACTCCGGCTCCGACTGTCCAGGCGTGGAGGCATAAAAATGAATAATTATATCTTCATTAGTTATGAATGTGTCTATATGTGGCTGTCAGCTAGGGATTTGTATTGTTAAGATTTTAACGGTACTACTACTTTTATTGATACCACTTATCGATCCATTACTTTTTTTTTTTTTTTTTTTTTTTATAGAAAAAAAAGAAATTAATAACAGAATTCACTTTGCTTATTTTCTCATATGCACTGGATTAACCCCCCCCCCCCAGTGCCCTGCAACTGGTGTCTGAATGACAGTTCAGACTGTGCATATGAATATGAATATAATATATATTGAATTTAAAAACACACCCATAACTATCAGATGGCTAATGTTTACTTTTCATTCATTAACGATGTTCGTATAATGCTAGTTAACTGTGTGTGTGTGTGTGTCTGTCTGTGTCTGTGTGTGGGTCTGGTCTGGGTCTGTGTCTGGGTGTGTTGTGTGTGGGTGTGTCTGGGTGTGTGTGGGCTCCAGGCGTGCAGCAGACAAAACACACCTGACACACAATGTGTCAATAACTACTCACTTTCCCGTCTGTATGTGACGGACTTTCTCTGGATGTTTCCACCTGGTCGCTTCGTGTTTCTTTTACAAGAAAAAAGACTGAACTACACTTAAACGTTCTAGCCTCTCTGCATAGACACTAAGAGCAGTGGTGTGTGTGTGGGTGTTAGGGTTGGTTGTGGTGTGTGTGTGTGTGTGTGTGTGTGTGTGTGTGTGTGTGCTGTGTGTGTGTGTGTGTGTGTGTGTGTGTGTGTGTGTGTGTGTGTGTGTGTGTGTGTGTGTGTGTGTGTGTGTGTGTGTGTTGCACAGGGCTCCAGGCTGACACAGAGCTGCCCCTGCCCCTAACACACACAGGGTCATTCATAGAGTTGTTGAGATAAAATGTGCAGGAGAACTTTTATGCTGCAACAATTTAATTTTTCAAGTACCAGTAGTAGTAGAAATGAAAATGTTGGAGCTTATTGATCTTTCAAAATTATGCCCCTGGGCCCGTTCGATTCGGTACCCATCCATACTGTCAGCAGAGGTTCCACACCTATAATTTTCATGGTTAATCCATCCATCCATTTTATGCCCCCAGGTCCAGGTGGCATTCATTTCCTAATGACTTCCAGAAATAATTGTATCTTGCAGTGTCACTGCGGCTGGCGTGGCAGTGAGACGGCTATTAAACATCACATTCTGTATGATATTAAAAAAGTCAACATTAAACATTTTGAACCCTGCAGAAACTATATCCCTGAATGACAAATGGTCCAGTCTGGATTCATTAGCAGCCTGGACCACATCCTGACCTCAGTCCTGACTCTAAATGCACTGTTTCTTCTCTCAGGTGTTTGTACAGCACCAGGCTCTGTGTCGGGTGGAGGGCCTGCAGCCCGTCAGCGTGTCGGAGGGCCTGGCGGTGTGTCGGCGTCTCGGCGCCTGCAGGCTGCTGCTGCTGGAGCCCAGCCGCCTGGGAGTCCTGCAGCGCGTCCGCCTCAATGTCAGCCAGGACGACGTGCTCTACGCCCTGAAGGCAGACTGAAGGCGGGTCCTCTTCAGACTCGTTTATGTAAGGAATGTAAGCCAAGTCTTGTGGGACAACAGCTTTGTGCTGCCGAAGCGCAGTGTCTTTGATTTTTAATTAGGAAGAAGGTGAGACTCACTGGGTCAGCACTCTCATTTTAGGATGCTGTGAATCAGCACAAGTAAACTAATTTTATTGCAGTTAGACTTATTGTTGTTTACATGTGATATCATTTTATTTCTTAACAAATCAGGCTGTTTGCCTTGATTTGTTGTTTTTTGTTTGTTTTTTTTAGATGGGAGAGTTTGTCATGTCCCCGGTTTAAACCTTATTTAAAATGTGAGATTTTGCTCCTTCGTATTTTTATTCATATTATATAGTGCATTGTATTTGATGTTTCAGTACTTGAATATGAAATAAAACTTCCTCTTTGAGATAAACTGCTCTTTTCTTTTAAATTTACTGCCACACCACAACATCCCCTCACTACAGACTTCCTGTTACTGTATCTGTCGGTCCGTGGGTTGGAGGCCACATTACATCAGTCATATCCCGGGTTGTGGCTTCAGCGTTTTAGGGTTGGTTGATTGGTTCAACAGCATTTTATTGAATCCAAATGCAGTTCCAGATCCACTTATCAAATCCAAATCCCTTCAAATCGCTTTTTGAATCTCCTTAAGTTTAATTTTGATCATTTGTCAGTGACTGGTTGTAAATAAAGGTTGAATCAAGACCAGAACTCCTACAGCTTTCAGTGGCAGCTACTGAACTAATCATTAACAGTAATGAAGCTGTAGCTCCAACCTGAAAGGTATCTGAGCAGCAGCAGATCATTGATTCTTGATTGATTTTTGTGGCACCTGAAAGAACAGCTGGAACAAACTGACTTGCACCAGACTTTTTCACAAACTACTTGATCCAAATCCTGGAGCTCCTGATCCAGAACTCTGAGCTTAACGAGCTCCAGATATTGATTTGATATTAATAGACAGCAGAACAGGGTCTCCCCTGTATTTAACATGCTGAGATCATTTGATTGTGATAACACTTCTCTTCAGGTTTAGCAGTTGTTATCCTCAGGTATTGACTGACAGCCGGAAGATTTTCTGTATGTGCACGAGAATGGGTCCAGATGTGGAAGTACAGTATCTCACAAAAGTGAGTACACCTCTCACATTTTTGCAAATATTTTATTATATCTTTTCATGGGACAACACTATAGAAATGAAACTTTGATATAACTTAAAGTAGTGAGTGTACAGCTTGTATAGCAGTATAGATTTACTGTCCTCTGAAAATAACTCAACACACAGCCATTAATGTCTAAACAGCTGGCAACACAAGTGAGTACACCTCACAGTGAACGTGTCCAAATTGTGCCCAAACTGTCAATATTTTGTGTGACCACCATTATTATCTAGCACTGCCTTAACCCTCTTGGGCATTGAATTCACCAGAGCTGCACAGGCTGCTACTGGAATCCTCTTCCACTCCTCCATGATGACATCACGGCGCTGGTGGATGCTAGACACCTTGCGCTCCTCCACCTTCCGCTTGAGGATGTCCCACAGGTGCTCAATTGGTTTAGGTCTGGAGACATACTTGGCCAGTCCATCACCTTTACTTTCAGCTTCCTCAGCAAGGCAGTTGTCATCTTGGAGGTGTGTTTGGGTTGTTATCATGTTGGAAAACTGCCCTGCGGCCCAGTTTCCAAAGGAAGGGGATCATGCTCTGCTTCAGAATGTCACGGTACATGTTGGAATTCATGTTTCCCCTCAATGAACTGCAGCTCCCCAGTGCCGGCAGCACTCATGGAGCCCCAGACCATGACGCTACCACCACCACCATGCTTGACTGTAGGCAAGACACAGTTGTCTTGGTACTCCTCACCAGGGTGCCGCCACACACGCTTGACACCATCTGAGCCAAACAAGTTTATCTTGGTCTCGTCAGACCACAGGACATGGTTCCAGTAATCCATGTTCTTGGACTGCTTGTCTTCAGCAAACTGTTTGCGGGCTTTCTTGTGCATCAGCTTCAGAAGAGGCTTCCTTCTGGGACGACGGCCATGCAGACCGATTTGATGTAGTCAAATGCATCTTCTTATGGCCTAGGCCATCTTTATGAAGAGCAACAATTCCATTTTTCAGATCCTCAGAGAGTTCTTTGCCATGAGGCGCCAAGTTAAATATCCAGTGACCAGTATGAGAGTATGAGAGAGAAAACACCAAATTTAACAGCCCTGCTCCCCATTCACACCTGAAACCTTGTAACACTAACGAGTCACATGACACCAGGGAGGGACAACGACACAATTGGGCACAATTTGGACACGTTCACTGTGAGGTGTACTCACTTGTGTTGCCAGCTGTTTAGACATTAATGGCTGTGTGTTGAGTTATTTCCAGAGGACAGTAAATCTATACTGCTATACAAGCTGTACACTCACTACTTTAAGTTATATCAAAGTTTCATTTCTATAGTGTTGTCCCATGAAAAGATATAATATAATAAAATATAAGCAAAAATGTGAGAGGTGTACTCACTTTTGTGAGATACTGTAGCATCTGACAGTCATGCTGTATTTGGGTCAGATTCGAGCCATGGAACCGGGCGTATACTGGTCCAGAAGAAAACAAGCATGTGGCCCAAGTATGGGCCGGATTTATTTTGCTATCTGTTTATTCATGAGTTTGTTAACAACTCTAACTCCTCCTGTGGACACCATCGTTGGAGGCAGCTGTATAAACGTATTAAGTTATTATGTTCCTTAAAGACTGAGTTAATGTTTCCTTAAAATAAAAACAGTTCCACAAAACACTCTTAAGTTTCATAATGTTCACTTGAAGTATTTAAGGTTTTCTCTGTATCTTAGTCTTATACTTTAAGAATCACTTAGTCGGTTAAACCGTTGCACTAAAGTCCTTATCGACCGAAGGAAGGGAAAGACCAAAGGGACCACGGACTCTCTTAAGTGCGACAGGGCTGGGCTTTAATGAAAGCAGTGAACGAATCCCAGAGAGATGAAACACCCTTAACGATGCAGTTGAATCTGACGTCTGTAGTCTGTCACTGTTGCAAATGCCTTAGTTTTTTTTTCTTAACAGAGCCAAACCTTAAGTGACATTATCTAAGGAGAAAGCTTAAGGGTGTTTTTTGCAACTGGTTTCTCAGTGGACATGTTAACAAAAGATTGATTTGCAGTGGTTCAACTCTCTCGGTACTTTATGTGTAATGCTTCTGAGGAACAAATAGACAAGTGTGACAACATCACTTCCTTGGCTGTGTTAAAAATATCTGACGATAAGCCGCGCCCCTGAACAGGCGCATGCGTGATTCTGAACACAACGGAGCTTTTACTTGTGTGGCAGTGATGGGAAGTTCGGCTCTTTTCCGAAAGCCGGCTCTTTTGACTCGGCTCCCAAAGAAGAGCCGGCTCTTTCGACTCCCGAACGGCTCTTTATTTAGGATCTTTTGTAGCCTATATTTTACCTTAACTTTGCAAAAAAATCATGGTTTATGTGTTGAAAACCCTTTTGCTTTCAGTGTTTTTATGAGAGACCTTGTAATTGCCTAATTCTGTGCATTTATTCTGTGACAAAACCGCTCTTACATTTGTTTATTTCAGTGGCGGCCCGTGCATTTCACACCTAGGCCTTCACTGATGTCCTACTTAGTCCGACTTCAATAAATACCTCTCATAATACCATCATTTATGACACCACGACTGGAGAAATAGTATACAGAAACACACTTACGCACTACTGGGCATTGCATCACCTCAATTGTGTACAAAACGGGCTATTTTCCGGCGCATTTAAAAATTAATAAACCCGCATTAGCAATTAAAACATATCTACGTGGTACTGTCAAAACTTAAAAATAAAAAGGTATTTAAAATTATCTGTCCAGTCGTGCTTTGGTGTCTCGTTGCTGCCTTGGTTAAACAATTTAAGTTCGCAAATTCAGTGTAGCTCCACACACCAACTCGATCCTTTGCAAACAAAAGGCATTTCCCAGCAGAACAATTTGCAGCGCGATCGGAAGCCGTAAACCAGGGGTACTGCTCGTAGTTGCTTGCTTGGAAGTGGCGGACAAACCCTTTCCCCGCCTGGGACAGGTTAGCTAGCTCGGGGGTCGGCCGACCTTGTCTCACGAGATTTAGCTTCTCTTGAAAGGTCCGTCTTGAAAATGGCCTTGCAAGTATATCTGCAACCAAATCGACTTTTTGCCCTCCGTCAGCCATTGTGGGTTAAAAAAGTAAGTAGATATATTAGATTTCTCTGCTAACGGTCCCTGGGTGTGGCTCTGATGCGACTCGGTTGATCTGCATAGTCTTGGCGGCTCTCACAAGTGAGTATCCAATCACAGGACGCGTACATGTCACGTTCAACGTGAGGCCAGCTAGAAGGCCTTACTGTCAACAACTCATGATCTGATTGGCTATCGCAACTATCTATCAACTCTATGTGCCCGTTCACTTACAATGCACAGACGCCCGCATTGTTGTTTCTGAAGGCCTCGGCAGATTTCATACAGCGTGGCAACACAAGCTAGCTGAATTCTGATTGGATAAAAACTCTAACCTAAAAACAACAACACTGGAAGGAGCATAATATGACATGAACAGAATATGAAGAATACTTTTATATATTTAGGGAAGGTAAGTTAAAAATTGAATTAACTTTTATCATAATTATGATGATGATGAGTTCTGATTATGTTAGGCCAGCAGAGAAGGCCTTGCTGGCCCTGACGGCCCACCGCTGGTTTATTTCAATTAAACTTTTTTATTGCACAAATTAACAATAAACTTCAAAAAAAATCCACAGAAAAGAACCAAACTCAAGCTAACATTAATAATGTCCTCAATCAAACTTTTTTATTGGACAAATGAAAAAAAAAATCAAACAAATCCACAGAACAAAACCAAAACCAGAACCAAACTCCAGCAAACAGCATTAGTCCTCAGGGCAGGTTGGCATTCAGGAAGATCAGATGCCTCAGCTTGGATGGGCTGATACGATTTCGCCTCTACCCTGTTTTGGAGAAGATTCTCTCAGAAGGAACTGATGTGGCAACAGTACACTACACATCTCCCTTCTTGAATTCTCATGTGAATGCCGCATGCTGGTCGCAATGGCCAATCATAACAAAGCTCTGTCGTAAACAGAGCTGGGACTGAGCACTGAGAGTGAAACCTAAGCACTAATGTGGGACGTTTCCTAGCGGATTGTTGGCCCCGAGCTTCAGTTGGAAACCGGAACGTATGGATGAACCATGTCCCGTTTGGGTCTTCGTCGCCTCTTCCCCTCAGACATTTCTTATTTTCCTGTAAAACCTAATGTTTTTAGGTAGAGTTCGTTACGTGCGAGCTGCGTT